AAATTAGCAATTTGGGGCAGATTGTCTCTGAGATATTAGCCCAGTTATGCTCCGATGACTCCATACAAATCCTTCTAAATCTTACCTGGTTCCTAATCTTATGAACCAAGCCAAATTTAGAAGGATTTGTATGGAATCGTCACAGCATAACTGGGCTAATATCTCAGAGACAATTTGCCCCGAATTGCTAATTTTTGGCGAGTAGGCGTCTTGGACGTTGTTCTTTCAGAATATCTTAACAAATCCCATAATTTCACAAATTTCATTTTTATGACGTCATCACTTCGGTACTCTATAAACAAACGATAGATGTATTGCCGCCATTTTGAATTTGGCAATGTCACGTGGTCGCGCGTCGACCAATCAGACAATTTTCGCCGGTGAAGGATTAGACTGGTCACAGGCAGGAGCCCATAACCAGTCCTCCATTTTTTTTTGTAAGATGGTCATAATCGAGCGCTTACCTGAACGGGTAGCCTGCGTAACAAGCGTTTCCTCGCGAGGTTCGTCTAGAAAGCTGGGACAAGAGCAAAAAAAAACTGTTCAACCTTTTTTTGCTTCCGCTCTAACTTTCGCGCAATAACTCGATTGGAAACGCTTGCTACGCAGGCTACTGAACGGGCGGCTCTAAACGGCGGCCATATATACATATCTTGGTTTCATATGATAAGGACTGTGAACAGTGTAACCTAGTATGGTAAGGCGATGACGTAAAACATGGCTTACTGTACGGCTCTCAAGTAGCATTGCAAACACTGGCATAGCAAACGATCAAAACATTGATTAAATCATGTTAAGAAGGACTTTCGCGCCCAGAAAGACAGATTGTTGCATGGTTTTGGCTTCGAGGACAAGGTTAAAATTATAATGTGTTATAAGCTACCTTTTAGAGAAGAGAGGGGAAATCCATCAACCTCGTGTGTCCCCAGGGCTTTTCCCTAAAAACATGGGAGGGGCGGGATGAGGGAAAATCCTCAGGGACGAAATCCATCCATCGGGCTGCATCAAATTTTAGCACTCATCCATAAATCTTTTCAGGACACAGATTTGTTTTCTACGCAAAAAGGGGCTCAAGTCTAACTAAGATTTAGTTCTAGAATAGCCTGTGCCAGGCTCTCGGTCAATACACTGTACAGAGAAATAAACGAGCGGGCAGTGAAATAGCGAACGAGAAAAACTGAAGGTGGGAAGAGAGAAGCTCACCAGCGGTTTTCGCGCAACCTTTCTCGATCCTTCCGATCCGCTTTCCCTATCGAATGTTATCGATCAGTTCGACTGCTATCGTCAACCCCGGGGGGGGCACTTTAGGAATTTCTGGGTGGGGATGTGCCGCTGGGACCCTGGAACCCTTAACCTATACCAGAGCTAGTTCAGCTGAATTTTGCTACCCTATACTAGAGTAAACTCCCCAAATCCCACTATCCTAGATAGATAAAATCTTCAACCAACTGATCAGTTTCTTGAAAAATGATACCCTATTCTAGACCCAAACGCTCTGATTTATATACCCTATCCTAGAGTAAACTGCTTGAAAACCATACCCTTCACAGCGGCACATACCTACATAGCCCATATATGGCAGTACCCCCCCTCCCGGTCGTCAACAGCTTATTCTAAAAATACTACATAATCGTTCGGCCCAAAACCTCCCCCCTAGAAACACCAATCTGCATACGCTGTAGAAGAAGATTTGCATTGCAGCTAGGGCAGTATGTACTGAAATTTTTTCCTTCTAATGTTGGTTTTGACTCATGATAGAGGCGAAAAATGAACAAAAGACTAAAATGTCCTTATATGTTGTTTTTGTACAAAATGTACAAGCTTCATGTATCCCAAATATTTCAGTTTAACCTTACTCCAAGCTAAAAATTTGTATCACCCTTACCAGGTGAATCCCTTAGAAGTACACTTCTTATGAGTTTTTTGCCAAAACTAAAAGACGTTGAAATTTTTACTTGCACCAACCTAGTAGCGTCCCAAGAGTATTCCCTTTTCTCTGATTCCAAGAAAAAAGTGCTGGGGACAAGGTTGCACATAGTAGCAACCTAGTCTGCTACACAGAGGTTTTTAGTGTCGTCACGCAACGCTCCTCCACGGAACGTTGCGTGACGACACTAAAAACGGCAGTGTAGGAGACTACTATGTGCGTGTGAAATTAATGGTTAATACTGGATAAGGAGTATCATAACGTCAAGACGATATTGAGCCTTTCAAACTATTAAGAAAATTAACTTTCTTGATCACTCAGTTCATGATATGCGAGGTCAATTCTAATTATTTTTAATTTTTTTAGTCGGCTAAATTTTTCGTGCTCAGCGACGAATTGAGTCCCTTGTAAACTTAAGGCATAGATATTGAAACGGGGCTGAATAGAGTACCGTGCCAAGAAGAGTACAACGCATAAATTATGACAAATTATGAAATACCTTAATCGACGCGATGACAACATAATGACAAAGCTCTGACCTCTTAATCCAATTAAGTTAGTCTCAAATAGGTTTAAAGGGACTTTAAATTCTCGACAATTACTGTGTAAACGAAAACTCTTTTATTAAAGCGGCAGGACAAAAAGGCATGCAAAGCAGACACAAATCACTTAACCTAAAATTCCAATACAGCGGACACCTTCGAGACCTACCCAAGTGTCAATTTTAAAAATTGCGCAATGTTTGTTAACGATTTTAAACCTGTACTGTGATAANGAATAGAGTACCGTGCCAAGAAGAGTACAACGCATAAATTATGACAAATTATGAAATACCTTAATCGACGCGATGACAACATAATGACAAAGCTCTGACCTCTGAATCCAATTAAATTAGTCTCAAATAGGTTTAAAGGGACTTTAAATTCTCGACAATTACTGTGTAAACGAAAACTCTTTTATTAAAGCGGCAGGACAAAAAGGCATGCAAAGCAGACACAAATCACTTAACATAAAATTCCAATACAGCGGACACCTTCGAGACCTACCCAAGTGTCAATTTTAAAAATTGCGCAATGTTTGTTAACGATTTTAAACCTGTACCGTGATAAAGTTCCATGTTGTTAAGGAAGCTGTGCTGTACTTTTTGCAAGACTTCTGACGGTGAACTTTGATCGCGATGACAATCATACGGCCGGATATCGGTCTAATTTACACTTTTTTGACAGCTAAATGTATTAATTATCTCGACTACAATACGTATTTCAATAGAGGTTTTTAACAATAGAAATTAGCCAAATACAATTTATTTTAGTGTCCGCGTCCTCTTAATAGAGGTGTCAGCTGAATAGAGGTTCGTTATAAAGGGAAATATAAGATGTTAATTTTGAGACCCGGCTTGGTGTCCGCTTAATGTCCTTAATAGACCTTTTAAGGTCTATTAAAATAGAGGGTGTCCACTTAATTGGGGGTCCGCTTAATAGAGGCGGCGTCACTGTACATTGTATTCAATCACAAGTTGTTTCAGGTTGAGTAGGGAAAAACCCAAGATTATCAAACATTTTTCATTTTTATTTCGGGGTGGGGGAATCCCTTTAACAGGCTTTGTTTTAAAAGGTATGAATATCGGCGGAAAGGAAACATCTAGGCAGACGCTTTCAAAATGCCGCCTGCTCTGTCAGTCCCCTCTCTCGAGAAATGGCGAAAATACGAACGGCGCTCGATGGCAAAGCAGCAAGAGTTTATAGAAAGATACAGAGATGACTTTGACAAAGTCCCTGTCACAAATTCAGACAGCATAAAGGCTGGTGATCATCTTGTTCTTGAAAGAAAATATTATGATCATCATATGCTGTGTACCTCAGTCAGCGGAGATAACCAGGTAGTCGTAATACACTACAGTGGACCAGCTTTGGGTATCAGTAGAGCTCTAAGAAGCATCTCGTTCAAAGATGTTGGAGTCAAAGGAGAAGTAGAAGAAAAAATGTTTTCGTTCGACGAACTTGTGAAACAACAGGTTCGTATTAAAAGTAAAACTGTTTAACACAAAAATACCTCTGCCGCGTTGCTACCGTTGCGAAGTTAAAGATCGTTTCAGTCGTTGTCGTCAACGGAGAATCAGGATCAATCTGACCCAGCGTGTCTGAAGAAGAAATGAAAAGGAAACTGCATCTAACTGATTTTCTAAGTCACAAACTGCTACTTTGTGGTGTTTTGACCTAATCAAAGTGTTTATTAGATAAATAAACTAAATGGCGTTCTGACAACGAGCACTGACACTAAAGTTTCGTTATCACCCTTCACAATAACATTTCGACGGCAACAATTAAAAAGGCAACTACTTTATTGGTTTATCGTACCATAAATTGTGTACTCGAATTGACAAACTACTAAGGAACAAAGTCAGCGAGCATGAAAAGATCGGAATTATGTTTTTCAATCTCCATTTTCCCTTAATTTGTTTTATTTTCGATTTTCAATTTCACTTTCATCATGTTGATGCTACTTCCGGCAACAAAATTTTTGAAATCGTTCTTTTCATGCAGAAGTGGAACGAATCAGAGCGCATAATGTTTTTGAGACAAAGTTAGTGTGTAGTTTGAAAGAACTGAAAGAGATAAAACCTTTAAGATTAATTTAGAATTTTTGTAAAAATTTTAAAGAGTATTGAAATATCCTCTTACGGGTGAAAGTTCGTCGCAATTATGCACGCAACTTTATTGAAGGCAATTCCATTCATACTCTTTCAGGTGAAAAAGATCATCTGGCCAGCTCAGTTAAAACGTTTTTCTGTAGAGGAAGTGACCAAGAGAGCTTCCAAGAGGTTGGGTGAAAACTGCTACGACATTCTAAAGAACAACTGTGAACATTTTGTAACTTGGAGCATGTGTGGGCTGAATGTGAGCCTTCAAATAGAACAATGGTACCTTACAGCACGAGAAGTCGCCTATTCTGCTTTCACAGGCCTGTATGACTTTGGTAGAAATATAACCACGAAGAAAGTTCTACCTCTACTTATCAAGCTCCAGGCTAATGTTTCCGACGAGGTGGCCGCTTTCATTAATGAAAATGCCCTCTATGTGGGGTATGGGTTAGCAATCCTTATGGAAGCTGGCCTAGCAGGTTATGAGACGTACAAATCATGGACTTATTGTAAGACTCCGGAAGAGTTTAAAGTCAAGTTCGTTGACATTGTTGCCAAGGCAGCTTTTCGTTTAGGCTGTGGAATCGTCGGCTCATGCATTGGCACAGCGGTATGCCCAGCAGCTGCCCCCATAGCGAGCTTTAAAAATGATACCCTATTCTAGACCCAAACGCTCTGATTTATATACCCTATCCTAGAGTAAACTGCTTGAAAACCATACCCTTCACAGCGGCACATACCTACATAGCCCATATATGGCAGTACCCCCCCTCCCGGTCGTCAACAGCTTATTCTAAAAATACTACATAATCGTTCGGCCCAAAACCTCCCCCCTAGAAACACCAATCTGCATACGCTGTAGAAGAAGATTTGCATTGCAGCTAGGGCAGTATGTACTGAAATTTTTTCCTTCTAATGTTGGTTTTGACTCATGATAGAGGCGAAAAATGAACAAAAGACTAAAATGTCCTTATATGTTGTTTTTGTACAAAATGTACAAGCTTCATGTATCCCAAATATTTCAGTTTAACCTTACTCCAAGCTAAAAATTTGTATCACCCTTACCAGGTGAATCCCTTAGAAGTACACTTCTTATGAGTTTTTTGCCAAAACTAAAAGACGTTGAAATTTTTACTTGCACCAACCTAGTAGCGTCCCAAGAGTATTCCCTTTTCTCTGATTCCAAGAAAAAAGTGCTGGGGACAAGGTTGCACATAGTAGCAACCTAGTCTGCTACACAGAGGTTTTTAGTGTCGTCACGCAACGCTCCTCCACGGAACGTTGCGTGACGACACTAAAAACGGCAGTGTAGGAGACTACTATGTGCGTGTGAAATTAATGGTTAATACTGGATAAGGAGTATCATAACGTCAAGACGATATTGAGCCTTTCAAACTATTAAGAAAATTAACTTTCTTGATCACTCAGTTCATGATATGCGAGGTCAATTCTAATTATTTTTAATTTTTTTAGTCGGCTAAATTTTTCGTGCTCAGCGACGAATTGAGTCCCTTGTAAACTTAAGGCATAGATATTGAAACGGGGCTGAATAGAGTACCGTGCCAAGAAGAGTACAACGCATAAATTATGACAAATTATGAAATACCTTAATCGACGCGATGACAACATAATGACAAAGCTCTGACCTCT